TTCTTTATTTGACAGGCACAGAGAGAGAGAGAGAGAATCTTCCACCTGCTGGTTCACTCTCCAAATGGCCACAATGGCCAGGAGCTTCTTCCAGGTCCCCAGGTGAGAGCAAGGGTGCAAACTCTTGGGCCATCTTCTGCTGCTTTCCCAGGGACATTAGTAGGGAGCTGGATGAGAAGTGCAGTAGCTGGGACTCAAACCAGTGTCCATATGGGATGCCTGCATCACAAGTGGTAGCTTTACTCACTACACCACAACAACCTCTACAATGAAAGTTTTAAAAAAGATTTCTATTTACTTACTGGAAAGGCAGAATTACAGAGAGGGAGGGAGGGAGGGATATCTTCCATCCGCTGGGTTACACCCCAAATGACCACAATAACCAGGATTGGGCCAAGCCAAAAATAGGGGCCTGGAACTCTATCCAGGTCTCCCACATGGGTTGTAAGGGCCCAAGCACTCAGGCCATCCTCTGCTGCTCTCTCAGGCACATTAACAGGGATGGATAGAAGTGGAGCAACTGGCCGGCGCTGCGGCTCACTAGGCTAATCCTCCGCCTAGCGGCGCCGGCACACCGGGTTCTAGTCCTGGTCGGGGCGCCGGATTCTGTCCCGGTTGCCCCTCTTCCAGGCCAGCCCTCTGCTGTGGCCAGGGAGTGCAGTGGAGGATGGCCCAGGTGCTTGGGCCCTGCACCCCATGGGAGACCAGGAAAAGCACCTGGCTCCTGGCTCCTGCCATTGGATCAGCGCGGTGCGCCGGCCGCAGCGCGCCGGCCGCGGCGGCCATTGGAGGGTGAACCAACGGCAAAGGAAGACCTTTCTCTCTGTCTCTCTGTCTCTCTCTCTCACTGTCCACTCTGCCTGTCAAAAAAAAAAAAAAAAAAAAAAAGAAAGAAAGAAAAAGTGGAGCAACTGGCACACTAACCAGCACTCACATGGGATGCCAGGGTCACAAGCAGTGGCTTTAACATGCTGAACCACAATGCTAGCCCGTATAATGACATTTTTTAAAATGCTAATTATTCACCATTGAGGATGGAGGACAACCAGTTTATTAGCTCAAAAACAAATGAGTTAGGGGATGGGCTTTGTGCTGCAGAAAGTTAAGCCATAGCTTGAGATAACCATATTGAAGTTCTTGTTGGAGTTCCAGCTACCCTGTTTCTGAACCAACTTCCTGCTGATGTATCCTGGAAGACAGCAGGCTCAAGTGCTTAGGAACCTACAACCCACATGGAGAACATGGATGAAATTCTGGGCGCCTGCCTTCAGGATAGCCCATCTCTGGATGTTGTGGGCATTTGTGGAAGAAGGAAGAAGATAGAAAATCTAGCTCTTTCTCTTTCTCTCTTGAATATGGAGCCCAGCGCTGTAGCTAAGAAGGTTAAGCTGCCACCAGCAATGCTGACATCTCATTTGGGTGCAGGTTCAAATCCCAGCTGCTCCATTTCCAATCCAGCTCCCTGCAAATACACCTGGGGAAGCAGTGAAAGACAGCCCAAATGCTTGGGTCCCGACCACCTACATGGGAGACCCAGATGGAATTCCTGGCTCCTAGCTTGGGCCTGGCCCATCCTCAAATATTGCAGCCCATCAGGGACTGACCCAGCAGATGGAAGACCCTCTCTCTCTGCTTTTCAAATAAACAAATAAGGAAGAGGTATTGTACCATAGTGAGTGAAGCTGCTGCCTGCAATGCAGGCATCCCATATGGGCAGTGGTTAATGCCACAGCTGCTCCACTTCCCATCCAGCTCCCCACTGACAGCCTTGGAAAAGCAGCAGAGGATAACTTGAATACTTGGGCCCCTGCCACTCCTGTGGGAGACTGAGATGAAGCTCCTAGATTTGGCCTGGCTAAGCCCTGGCCATTGCAGCCATCTGGAGAGCAAACCAGAAGAATGAAAAATCTCTCTCCCTCTCTAACTCTGCCTTTCAAATAAATAAACAAGTCTTAAAAAATAAGTAATAAAATCATTAAAAAATATTTTTCAAAAATTTAACAAAAAAGTGCTTGATGAGTCAACATAACCACAACCAATTTTCTAAGGGCAGAATAGTTATCAATGATAATATTTGTTGTGGGGTATGGCCTGGGGCTTCTGTGTTTCTATATATTTCTATATCTCATTCATTATCATATGTAAGGTAAATACAGATTACTTGTTTATTTTAAAGACTTAAGATTTTTAGCTCAAGTGTTATTACTAAAATTGTCTATGCATTTCTCTGCTTTATCCTAAAAGACAACTTCTCAAAGCACAACTGATAACATTAACAACCATTTAACTAGCACAGTATTCAACACTAGCAACGCTAGCATATCAATGAAATTAAAGTTTTCAATCACAACTTTAAATACTTTGTACCTTTGTAAAAAGCCTACTCAGGTCAAGAAGAAAATTCACTTGATATACAATTTAATATTCAATATACAAAGCACCAAACATAACTTAATAGTATAATAGGAAAGTTACCAGGCTGAGCTCTAGGAAGTGTCAAGAGGTCTGTACAGCTTGGGGGAAAAAAGGAAAAAGCAGGATCAACTGGTAATTCTAGGTTAAGCAATGTTAGCGCACCCTCCCCTATGGAAAACATCAGAGACATCCACTAGGACAACTCTCAAATTGAAACTCTTGCCAAGAAAACCAGTGTTTTACTCTCATCCTCTGGATCTCACATCCATTCACATGGCTTATAATAAGTTAAGCTGCTTTCAAAATAAAAAGTGTGTTGACAGCTATTCTGATGGAGCCAAATGGGTTTTTTTTGGATCTGCCACCTAGAATACTTGCAAAATATAATGGAGAACCTTTTGATAAAACATCCTCATACCTGTCAAAGATAACCATTATTAGTGTACTAAGCTCTTTTCTCTAATGTTCAGTAGGTTTCCATATAATGTTCAATAATTTTCTATCTGGAGATTGTGGAAGAAAGGTATTCAGTTAATTATTTGTGGTGCTCTTCAAACTTTTGAATAAATTTCAAAAACAATGTTTTCCAAAAACTGAAGTTCAGAGAGATTTAAATAACTCATCTAATTAGTAAAATGGCAAACTTAGGACACAAATCCAGGTTTTAGATGCAAAAGAGATGTCTTTCATTATACAACTTGGACAGGTTATCTTCAAACTCCTCTAATACTGGAATTTTAAAACTCGACAAACAGAAAATTTCACTGAATAAAGCCCTTCCCAATGTAAAGTTACTCACTTAGAAAATACTCCCCTGGGCCGGCACCACGGCTCACTAGGCTAATCCTCCGCCTTGCGGCGCCGGCACACCGGGTTCTAGTCCCGGTCGGGGCGCCGGATTCTGTCCCGGTTGCCCCTTTTCCAGGCCAGCTCTCTGCTGCGGCCAGGGAAGGCAGTGGAGGATGGCCCAAGTCCTTGGGCCCTGCACCCGCATGGGAGACCAGGATAAGTATCTGGCTCCTGCCATCGGATCAGCGTGGTGCAACGGCCGCAGTGCGCCGGCTGTGGTGGCCATTGGAGGGCTGTGGTGGCCATTGGAGGGTGAACCAATGGCAATGGAAGACCTTTCTCTCTGTCTGCCTCTCTCACTGTCCACTCTGCCTGTCCAAAAAAAAAAAAAAAAAAAAAAGAAAAAAAAAAAAAAGAAAAGAAAATACTCTCCTGGGGGCTGATGCAGTGGTGCATCAGATTAAGATGCTGCCTGCTGGCATCCCATAACCTACTGCGCCGTGGCACAGTAGGTTAATCATCCACCTGTGGCGCTGGTTCTAGTCCCGGCTGCTTCTCTTCCAATCCAGCTCTCTGCTGTGGCCTGGGAAAGCAGTAGAAGATGGCCCAAATGCTTGGGCTCCTGCACCTGCATGGGAGACCAGGAAGAAGCACCTGGCTCCCGGCTTAGGATCGGTGCAGCTCCAGCCATTGCAGGTATTTGAGGAGTGAACCAACGGAAGGAAGACCTTTCTGTCTCTCCCTCTCACTGTCTGTAACTCTATCCCTTAAATAAATAAATAAAATATTTAAAAAAAAAAAAAAAAACACCAGTTCAAGTCCCAGCTACTCTGCTTCCCATTCAACTCCCTGTTAATGCACCTGGGAAAGCAGAAGTTGGTCCAAGAGTTTGGGCCCCTGCTACCCACATGGGAGACATTGACGGTACTCTTGGCTCCAGGCTTTAGCTTGGCCCAGCCTTGGCCATTGGAGTCATCTGGGGAGTGAACCACTGGATGGAAGATATCCACTGGTTCACTCCCCAAATGGCCACAATGGCCGGAGCTGAGCAGATCTGAAGCCAGGAACCAGGAGCTTCTTCCAGGTTCTCTGAATTGTGGATGCAGGGTCCCAAGACGGGCCACTGCTTTCCCAGGTGCATTAGCAGGGAGATGGATTGGAAGTGGAGTAGCTGAGCTCAAACCACACTGCAGGAGGCGGCTTAACCACTATGCCACAGTGTCAGCCCCAAGTTTATTTACTTTCTTGCATACTATCCGTGAAAGGTGGCTTGTTTACGAACGCAGTAAATAACACATATGTAAGTTAGTACCAGGATTAATGATCAGCACTTCACTTGAATTGTCTCCCCTCATTTAAAATAATAACTTAGATAAACTGAGAAGTAGGTCATATTTAACATTAAAAGCATTATGAAACGCCTCAACAATTAAAATCCATTCTAAGACTGAGGAACTCTTCTGAGCTTGCAAGAAGAGGCTACTTGAAACATCTGAAACTTGGGTATTTCATTATGTTAGAGTATTACTTCTACATATAATTGGGTTTTCATATTACATTCTAGAAGCACACCAAAATTAATGGTAAAGGAGATAGCCAAGATGCTAGTTGGTGGCTGGACTAATTTCAGGATCAAATAAGTATCATAGAACATCCAACCTGAAATAATATTACCTCTTTTCTTTTATTTACTATCTATATTGTAAACACAAGGTCCACAATCCTGAGGTTTCCTACAAAAGAAAACATTAAGTTCCCTAAGTCTACACAAGTCAAAGAGTTCCACAAAAACTCACCTGTACCACTTGCTTCTGTGGTTGTGTTGCCTGTGTTGTTGAAATCTGGGATTTTTCCCGAGCACCTCGGCAACGGTCACTGCTCACTGAAGTCATCATATACAGTATATACAAAATAACGTATGTACAAAATAGAAAATCTGTAAGGAAACAGGCACAGTAAACAAAACTTCCAAATCAAAGTAAAAGGCAAGCACATAACTCAGGGGAATTGTAGACACATGAGATAAAAGATCTTTGGAATACAAGTTTGTAAGAAAAACTCCTTTTAAGATTTTAGATTTTGGGGGCCGGTGTGGTGACATAGCAGGTAAAGCCACAGCCTACAGTGCCAGCATCCCATATGGGTGTGGGTTCAAGTCCCAGCTGCTCTACTTCTGATTCAGTTCTCTGCTATGGCCTGGGAAAGCAGAAGATGGCCCAAGTGCTTGGGCCCCTGCCCCCACATGGGAAACCCAGAAGCTCCTGGCTCCTGATTGGCCCATTTCCAGCCATTGCGGCCACCTGGAGAATGAACCAGCGGATGGAAGACCCTTCTCTCTCTCTGCCTCTGCTACTCTATAACTCTGCCTTTCAAATAAATAATTAATCTTTTTTTAAAAATCACTTAAAAAATTTTTAGATTTTGGGCAACATTATGATGTAGTGGGTTAACTGCATCCCATATAGGCACCAGTTTGGAGACCAGCTGCTCCATTTCCAATCCAGCTCCCTGGCTAATGTACCTGGGAAAGTATTGGGAAATGGCCCACCCAAGTCCCTGTGCCCTAGCACCCATGGGGGAGTCCCCAGCTGGTGTGGCCATTTGAAAAGTCAAACAGCAGATGCTTCACTTCCAAATAAAATAAATATTTAATTTTAAAAAATTTACATTTCAGTGGGTGCCTTTAAACTAATTTTATTAATACAATCTAAATGTACATGGTTTATTATCTTAGCAAATCTAAACAAAAACCTCAAGTACCAATGAATTTAACCACAAATCACTGCATCACAATTTATAGTTACTACTATACATTCTTTTATCTGCCTCTTCCTACATGCAGCTATTATTTGAACTTGAAGGAAACAAAGTATCCAGCAAGACTGTCCAGCCAATAACCCAACTCAAACTGTGATAAACATAAACAAGTTAAGCCTAAAAGCAAACAACACTATAAATAATGTATTTTCCCATTCCCACAAAGATCCGAAACCAGAAGATGCCCATTCTCACTATCACCATTCACCATAGTCCTGGAATTATTAACCAGAGCCATTAGGCAAGAAAAAGAAATCAAAGGGACACAAAAGGAGGAAGCCAAATTATCCCTTTTTGCAGATGACATGATTCTATACATAGGGGACCCAAAAGACTCCACTAAGAGGCTATTAGAACTCAAAAAACTTTGGTGAAGTGGCAGGATATAAAATCAACGCACAAAAAACAGCCTTTGTATACATAGACAATACCACAGCTGAGAAGGAACTTCTAAGATCAATCCTGCCGGCGCCGCAGCTCAATAAGCTAATCCTCCGCCTTGCGGCGCCAGCACACCAGGTTCTAGTCCCGGTCGGGGTGCCGGATTCTGTCCCGCTTGCCCCTCTTCCAGGCCAGCTCTCTGCTGTGGCCAGGGAGTGCAGTGGAGGATGGCCCAAGTGCTTGGGTCCTGCACCCCATGGGAGACCAGGAGAAGCACCTGGCTCCTGCCTTCGGATCAGCGTGGTGCGCCAGCCGCACCCCGCCAGCCGTGGCGGCCATTGGAGGGTGAACCAACAGCAAAAGGAAGACCTTTCTCTCTGTCTCTCTCTCTCACTATCCACTCTGCCTGTAAAAAAAAAAAAAAAAAAAAATCAATCCCATTCACAATAGCTGCATAAACAAACAAAAAAAATCAAATACCTTGGAATAAATTTAACCAAGATATCAAAAATCTCTATCTCTACAAGGAGAATTACAAAACATTAAAGAAAGAAATAAAAGATACCAAAAAAATGGAAAAATCTTCCATGTTCATGGATTGGAAAAACAATATCATCAGAATGTCCATACTACTGAAAACAATTTACAGATCCAATGTGATATCAAAGTACCAAGGACATTCTCAGAAAAAAATGATTCTGAAAATCATCTGGAAACACAGGAGACTCTGAATAGCTAAAGCAATCTTATACAACAAAAACAAAACCAGAGGCATCACAATATCAGATTTCAAAACATACTACAAGGGCAGTTATCATCAACACATGGTACAGGCACGTGAACAGATGGATAGACCAATGGAACAGAACAGAAACTCTAGAAATCAACCCAACCACAACCAACTCTTCTTTGACAAAGGAGCTAAAATCAATCCCTGGAGCAAGGACAGTCTCTTCAATAAATGGTGCTGAGAAAACTGGATCTCCAATTGCAGAAGTATGAAGCAATATCCTTACCATACACCTCCCACAAAAATACACTCAAAATGGATCAAATACTTAAATCTACGACCAGCCGGCGCCACGGCTCACTAGGCTAATCCTCCGCCTAACGGCGCCGGCACACCGGGTTCTAGTCCCGGTTGGGGCGCCGGATTCTGTCCCGGTTGCCCCTCTTCCAGGCCAGCTCTCTGCTGTGGCCAGGGAGTGCACTGGAGGATGGTCCAGGTGCTTGGGCCCTGCACCCCATGGGAGACCAGGAAAAGCACCTGGCTCCTGGCTCCTGCCATCGGATCAGCGCGGTGCACCGGCCGCAGCGCACTGGCCGCGGCGGCCATTGGAGGGTGAACCAACGGCAAAGGAAGACCTTTCTCTCTGTCTCTCTCTCTCACTGTCCACTCTGCCTGTCAAAAAATAAATAAATAAATAAAAATAAATAATAAAAAATAAAAAACAAGAAAAAAGACAAATATTTAAAAAAAAAATCTACGACCAGATACCATCAAATTATTAGAAAATACTGGTGAAACCCTGCAAGACATTGGCATAGGCAAAGAGTTCTTGGAAAAGATCCCAGAGGCACAGGCAACCAAAGCCAAAAACTGACAAATGGGATTACATCAAATTGAGAAGCTTCTGTACTGCAAAAGAAACACTCAGCATAGTGAATATGCAACCAACAGAATGGGAGAATTATTTGTAAGCTATGCAACTGATAAAGGAATAATAACCAGAATATATAAATAAGTCAAGAAACTCAACAGCAACAAAACAAATAACCCAGTTAAGAAATGAATAAAGGACTTAAACAGATGTTTTTCAAAAGAGGAAATCCAAATGGCCAACAGACACATGAAAAAAATGCTCAGGATCACTAGCCATCAGGGAAACGCAAATCAAAAACCACAATGAGGTTTCACCTCACCCCCCTTAGAATGGCTTTCACACAGAAATCAACAACAAATGTGAGGATGTGGGAAATAGGTGCCCTAATCATCTGTTAGTGGGAATGTAAACTGGTACAGCCACTGCAGAAGACAGTACAGAGATACCTCAGAAATCTCAATATAGACCTATCATACAATCCAGCCATCCCACTCCTGGAAATTTACCCAAGGGAAATGAAATCAGCATATGAAAGAGTTACCTGCACCTCCATGTTTATTGCAGCTCAATTCACAATAGCTAAGACATGGAATCAATCCACATGTCCATCAACTGATGACTGGATAAAGAAATTATAGGATATGTACACCAATGAACACTAAACAGTGGTAAAGGAAAAAAAATGAAATCCTGACGTTTGCAACGAAATGGATACAACTAGAAAACATTATATTTAGTGAAATAAGCCTGTCTTAAAAGGACAAATACCATGTTCTCCCTGATCTGTGGTAACTAATAGAGCACCTAAAAGACAACCTATAGAAGTGAAATTGACATTTTGAGATGCTATAACTTTGAACAGCCCTTGTCTGTTGAGGAGCAATATTTTTTCCATACTATTTATTGAACTCTTTACTTAGTATAGAGTTAATCTTATGTGTATAAAATTAATTGAAAATAGATCATAGTGAAAAAATAAGAATGTGAATAGGAGAGGGAGGAGGAAGGAGGGTAGGAATAATCACTATGTTTCTAAATTTGTATTTATGAAATGCATGAAGTTTGCAGACCTTAAATAAAAGGTTTCTGGGAAAAAATAGATAAATCTTTCAGCAAGTCAAAACCAATTGTGGGTATACTTTTCCTTCATTTATTTAGCAAATAGCTATTGAATAGCTGCTAAGTACCAAGCAAATAACTAAACATAATATAGTATCAAAACATGACTATAGGGGCCAGTGCTGTGGCGTCATAGGTTAAGCCTTCACCTGAGGCACCGACATCCCATATGGGTGCCAGTTCAAGTCCAAACTGCTCCATTTCCAACCCAGGTCCCTGCTAATGTGCCTGGGAAAACAGTAAAAGATGGCTCAAATCCTTGGACCCCTACACCCACATGGGAGATCCAGACGAAACTCCTGACTTCAGTCTAGCCCAGCCCCAGCAGTTATGGCCATTTGGGGAGTGAACCAGCAGACTGAAGCCCTCTCTGTCTAATTCTGCCTTACAAACAAATAAAATAATCTTTTAAAAAAAGAAAGTATGAGCCGGCGCCGCGGCTCACTAGGCTAATCCTCCGCCTAGCGGCGCCGGCACACCGGGTTCTAGTCCCGGTCGGGGCACCGGATTCTGTCCCGGTTGCCCCTCTTCCAGGCCAGCCCTCTGCTATTGCCAGGGAGTGCAGTGGAGGATGGCCCAGGTGCTTGGGCCCTGCACCCCATGGGAGACCAGGAAAAGCACCTGGCTCCTGGCTCCTGCCATCGGATCAGCGCGGTGCACCGGCCGCAGCGCACTGGCCGCGGCGGCCATTGGAGGGTGAACCAACGGCAAAGGAAGACCTTTCTCTCTGTCTCTCTCTCTCACTGTCCACTCTGCCTGTCAAAAAAAATAAAAAAATAAAAAAATAAATAAATAAAAAAAAAAAAAAAAAGAAAGTATGTTGGAAAGAATGTGGCAAATTGGGACCCTGTGCACAACTGAGAGAATGTAAAGTGGTGCAGCTGTCACGGAAAACAGAATAATGGTTCCTCAAAAAGAATCAAAGAGGCAGGCAGACATGTAGCTCACCAGTCACAAAGCCACTTGAGATGCCTGCATCCTATATCAGAGTGCCTAGGTTCAAGTTATGACTCTGCTGCTGATTCCAGCTTTTTACTAACGTACACCCGGGGGGTGGGGGTGGGGGTAAGCAAGTGATGGCCCAAATACTTGGATCCTTGCCACCCACATGGGAGGCCCCAATAGAGTTCCGGGCTCCTGGCTTTCACCAAACCCAGCATTAGATGTTACAGGCATTTGGGGCATGAACTAGGGATTGGTGGATATCTCTGTATCTCTACCTTTCACCTAACAATTAAGATCCCCAAGTCCTATATCAGAGTACCTGGGTTTGAAATCCAGCTCTAGCTCGACTCCAGCGTGTTATGAATGCAGACTCTGGGAGGCAGTGGTAATGATTCAAGCAATTGGGTTCCTGCCACCCATGCAGAAGATTTTGGTTGAATTGTCTCCTAGCAGCTGACAAGCCCAGTCATTGTGAACATTTGGGAAGTCAATCACCTGCACCACATGCAACTCACATGCATCTCTCTCTTACTCCTTCTCTGTATCATTGCCTTTCAAATAAATAAACAAAACAATGTTGAAATGCACACCACAAATAGCACGAAAGACCTTAAATGTTTAAGAATTTTATATTACTGGTTAAATGAAATGTTCATAGCAACTCTACAACCAGCAAGTCGCTGATGAAAACTGTCAACAAGGTTTTGATCCAGTGAATACGCTGTGGTAAATGAGGAAAAGAACCAACAAACTAACAGTACTCACAAGAAGCAGTGGCTTGAAAACAAACAACATCAAAGTTGAATTTTGCAAGGATGAGGCACGCTGAGCCCAAAAATTTGTCCAACTTTGTTCTTCCAAAAGCGAATACAGTGTGTGTTCATTTAAAATATTCATATATTGACTGAAACAAAAGAGTGTTTTCTCTCCTGAGAAAAAAGGAGTGGACTGCAACATTTGATGTCAGCTGGTGAGGGGCTGCTCCAATGTGCCTCCAATATTGAGGCCTTTCCTGTAGGCTTTAAGCTCAATAAGTACTTGAAAACATTTCTCTCCCTGAAAGATGCTCTCCAGGAGTGGGTGTTGTGGCACACCAGGTTTACCCGCCATCTGGGATGTGTGCATCCATATCAACCCTGGCTTCTGATTCAGCTTGCTTCTAATGCGCCCGAAGTATCTGGGTTTCCACATGGGAAACCCAGAAGAAATTCCTGGCACCGGCCTGGCCTGACCCCGGCTACTGCAGGTAACTGGGGAATGAACCACCGGGTGGAAGATCCCTGTCTCTCACTTAGCCTGTCACTCTGCAAAAGAAAAAAGGAAGGAAGGGAAGGTGGGAGAGAGGGTGAAAAAGAAAGGAAAAAAAAAAAAACCCTCCAGAATTTAAAAAAAAAAAAAAAAAAAGTATCAATCCTGATTCCTTTTTTTTATAAACTAATTAATGGTAAAAATGACATTTTTAGATAAATAATTTTTTTTCTATTTTTCTTTTATTTATTTGAAAGGCAGTGTTACAAAGAGAGGGAGGGAGAGATAAGGAGACAGATCTTCCACCTACTGGTTCACTCCCTAAATGGCTACAATGGCTGGGGCTGGACCAGACCAAGGAGCCAGGAGTTTCTTCTGGGTCTCCCATGTGGATGGCAGGGGCCCAAACACTTGGGCTCTCTTCTGTTGTCTTCCCAGGCACATTAGCAGAGAGCTGGATGGAAACTGGAGCAGCCAAGACTCGAACTGATGCATATAGAGGATACCAGTTTAACAGGTAGTGGATTTACCCGCTACACTACACCACCAGCCCCCAACAAATGTTTTCATTAAAGATGTTTCATTCTAACATGGAGAGTCTGAACCTTTTGGGTCATTAAAGTTCAGACAATCTGATAAAACCTAATTCTCCCTGAAATTTCAGGAGGTTTGCATCTCCTATTTCTCTCCTCAAAGCCACCATCCATGGACAACCTCAGTCTACTCTCTCAATGCCCACAAACTCTCAGACCAAAATAAACTATAAGAGTTCAGCATGGGGCCAGCGCCATGGCTCACTTGGTTAATCCTCCACCTGCAGCACCGGAATCCCATATGGGCGCTGGGTTTGAGGCACAGTTGCTCCTCTTCCAGTCCAGCTCTCTGCTGTGGCCCGGGAGGGCAGTGGAGGATGGCCCAAGTGCTTGGGCCCCTGCACCTGCATGGGAGACCAGGAAGAAGCACCTGGCTCCTGGCTTTGGATGGGTGCAGCACCGGCCGTAGCGGCCATCTGGGGAGTGAACCAACAGAAGGAAGACCTTTCTCTCTCTCTCTCTCTCTTTTTTTAGATTTATTTATTTCAAAGTCAGAGTTACAGAGAGAGGAGAGGCAGAGGGAGAGGGGGGGAGAGAGGGGGAGAGAGGGGGAGAGAGAGGGAGAGAGGGGGAGAGAGAAAGGTCTTCCATCCGATGGTTCACTCCCCAGACAGCCGCAATGGCCAGAGCTGCACCGATCCGAAGCCATGAGCTTCTTCCATGTCTCCCATGCGGGTGCAGGGGCCCAAGGACTTGGGCATCTTCTACTGCTATCCCAGGCCATAGCAGAGAGCTGGATCAGAAGAAGAGCAGCCAGGACTAGAACCGGTGCCCATATGGGATGCCAGCACTTCAGGCCAGGGTGTTAACCCACTGCGCCACAGTATTGGCCCCTCTCTGTCTCTCTCATTCTGTCTATAACTCTACCTAATAAAAAAAAAAAAAAAAAAAAAGAATTCAGCAGAGCCCTCACACCCAAAGCTTAAGCTCTAATCATGTAAAAACCTACAATTTGGTCATGAAACAAAATCATAAAAACCACACACTATCTTTTTTAAGGGGCTCTTTACTCACCTAAAAACAGTCACCAGCTTTGCAGCCAAAGGAATTTTCACACAGGGAAAATTCACCATCTGACCTTCCATAAATTTATACTGAGTTTTAGTATTGATATAAACCCAATCAATTGCTAATGATTAACTTCTGGTGTGTTGGGTGAATATAATGACTGGACAACCTGTACATCCTTCTACAACCACGTGGATGGGAAACTAATTTACTTTCTATAATGTACATTTTCTTGAATCAACTGGCCTAACCATGTGCTATGATACATGAAACAATCCATATTAAATTCTTAAAAGTTTTTAGCCTACTAGATTAAAAACTAAAATAGAAATTACGATTTAGTACTAACACAAGATGATGGTGTAGCACTGTGGCATTAAGCCACTGCCTGCAACACTGGCATCCCACATACGTACCAGTTCAATTCCTGGCTGCTCCACATTCCATTCAGCTCCCTGCTAACATGACTGCGAAAGCAGCAGAAAATGGCCCAAGTACTTGAGGCCCCACACCCACATGGGAGAAACCGAAGAAGCTCCTGGCTTCAGCCTGGCCCAGCACCAGCCATTGCAGAACTGGGGAGTCAACCAGTGGATGGAAAGTCTCTGTCTCTCCCTCTCTAACTCCACCTTTAAAATAAATAAATTAAATCTTAAAACACAAACACACATATGATGATGCCTTGGATGAGATATCCGGTAAAGTGGCACACTTTGCTTCCCTAACTTTTAACCCATCATGTCCTTTTAGCTTTATCCTATTCACTCCCACTTAGGAAGCCCAAAGGCATATTAAGTTTCCTAAACTCCTCTTAAAGAGAGAGACTTTTTCCCTCTGCTACCAAGGCAAAAAGCAGAGGGATGAAACCAGTATTTTCAAAAAAGAACTATAAACTTACTAACAAGTTGGCTGAGCTACTAACAAGTACCTCCAAGGGATAATTCAAGACACTTGAACATGCAGGAAGTTGCCATCAAAAACCAAAGACTTCAAAACAAAGGAGACAGAAAATAGAAAAAAGAAAATCCAGTTCCAGTGAAATGTTATGAAATATGAAACTTACATCAAAATAAAGGAAAAGCTGGAAAGGGGGACAATATATGACAGGATGAAAATGGAACTTGGAATGGTATGATGTATGAAAAATAAGTTAGTAAGAATCCATTTTTGCAACCAACCCTTTTTAAATTTTTTATTCTATTTGAAAGCGAGACAGAGATATTCCATCCACAGGTTCACTCTCCAAATGCTCACAACAGCCAGGACTGAACCAGGCAGCCCAGAATTCAATCAGGGTCTCCCACAGGGGTGGCAGAGACCCAAGCCCTATAGTCATCATCTGCTGCCTGCTAAGGTACACAATAGCAAGCTGAACTTGAAAGCAGTGCCAGGACTCAAACCCAAGCACTCTGAAATGGGATACATGTTAACCTCTGTGCCAAACAACCATTCCCTATTTTTGGTGTGTTGTTGTTATTAAGATCTGTTTGAAAGGCAGAGAGAGAGATAGACATATAGGGCCAGCTCTAAGGCCTAACAGGTAAAGCTGCCACCTGCAGCGCCGGCATCCCATATAGGTGCCAGTTCAAGACCCAGCTGCTCCATCTCTTATCCAGCTCCCTGCTAATGCGTCTGGGAAAGTAATGGAGGATGGCCCAAATCCTTGGGCCTCTGCACCCACGTGGGAGACCTGGAAGAAGTTCCTGGATCCTGGGTTCTGATCCACCCAGCTCTGACCGTTGCAGCCATTCGAGGAATGAACCAGCAGATGGAAGACCTCACTCTCTTTGCCTCTGCATTGCAAATAAATCAATCTTTAAAAAAAAAATGAAGAAAGAAAAACAAAGAAAGATATATAATCCCATTCATTGGTTCACTCCTGAAATACCCACAACCTGCCCACAGCCTGGTCCAGTCCTGGCCATGAAGGCCATTTAGGGAGTGAACCAGCAGACGGAAGATCTGTCTCTCCCTCTAACTTTGCCTTTCAAATAAGTTAATTTAAAAAAGAAAAAAAAAAATTCTCTCCCTCTTTGTCTCTTCCTCTCTCTGTTACTCTGCCTTTCAAACAAAATTCACTCTCAAAAGAAAATATTTTGAGGGAAGTGAGTCTTATAGCCTGGGAATTAAAATGCCCATGTCCTACACTGGGGTACCTGAAATTGATTTCTGGCTCCACCTTCTAACTCTACCTTCTTGCTACCACAAATCCTGGGGTATAGCACTGATGGATCAAGTAATTGGGCTCCTGCCACTCAAGTGAAAGACATGGACTAAGTCCCCTGCTCCTGGCTTCTGTCCTCGGCCCAGCTGCCAGTCACTGTGGACATCTGAGGGCTGAACCAGCAGATGGCAGCTCTCTATCTGCCTCCCTGTCTCTCAAATAAGTAAACTGCTAATAGAAATACATTCTTTTAATTGTTCTTTCATGAAATTTTTTAAAGATTTGTTTAATTTATTTGAAAGGCAGAGTTACAAGGTGGGAGTATAGAGAGACAGAGAGAGAGATCTCCCATCTGTTGATTCATCCCCCAAATGGCCTTAATGGCCAGGGCTGGGCCAGACCCAAGTCAGGAGCTTCTAAGAGGTATCCCAGGGACGCAAGCACTTGGGTCACCTGCTGCTTTCCCAGGCACATTAGCAGGAAGCTGGATCAGAAGTGGAGCAGCCAGGACTCCAACCA